GTCCACAGAAGAATCAGCCAAGGGCATGGCGGGGCAGGTCCAATGGGAGAGGGGCCCAGGCCTCCCAGGGGTCCTCCTCCAGCGGAGCCCATGGCCTGGCCTAGCACTCGCATTTCCTCCGGTACCATTTGGTACAGGGAAGCTCTTTTGGACTTGGCTGTCAGGGCTTTTCCTGGGGGTTTGAGCTCTCTGTCGAGGGAAAGCAGGAGTCTGCTGAAGCTGTGTTGTGCCAGCAGGGGCCTGACCTGGTACTCAGGCCTTGTGGGGCCAGGAGCTAGGCCTGCTGACTTCCCGCTTCTCTGCCCAAGGGGCTCTCACTGGCCCAGGGAGGGTGCACAGGATGACTGTGGACCCCCCCCCCCCCGCCATGCGGCAGGGATTGTGTCTGTCTTGGGGACTGTGGATAGCTGGATGGATGGGCGTCGCATCCCAGAATAATTTGTGGCAATTAGAAACAATGGAACAGGCCTGAAAATCGGAGTCCTTGGTGAGAAAAACGATAAGAAATTGAAAGAGCCTGGCTTGGTGGCGCATGCCTGTAATCCCAGCACTCAGGAGGCTGAGGCAGGAGGATTGCTTCGAATTCAAGCAAGACTTTGTCTCAAATAAATAAATAAATAAATAAGGATGATCTAGGATGTGTATTCTGAGTTTAACCATTAGTGGGCTGTGTTAGAATGCAAGCCATTTGGGTGCCTCCTACTTTATAGTGCTATTTGCTTAATGCTGCACGTCTCCTGATTGTGAACCTTCAGTATTGGAGGAAAATCTCTGAGACTCAGTTTACAGGTGAAAAGTACAGCCTCCACAGGCTTATTGTATTTGTGTGTGTGTTTTTATTTTATTGGTACATTTTAGATATACATAATATTACAATTCATCACAGGGAACTTGTACCTGTATGTGACATATCTTGCTTCTTTTTTCCCATTCCCTTCCTCTCCCTCCCCCCTTCAGTTTCTCTTCTCCTACTTACTTACAAAAGCTTTGTTTCCACTTTTTCCTTCTATTCTTTCTTGCTCATTCTTCACTTTTATCCTCCACTGTCTTCTTGTTTCCATTCTCATCTGAACATTTTCTTCCCATTTCCCAATATCTATTATACGTTTTTTTCTTTTTCTTTTTTCTTTTAAAGAGAATAAAACAAAACAAAACAATGGGAATGATACTGGATTTCAAAAACAAGAGAGTAGGAAATCAACCATAGTTACTGTAATGCACATTGTCATCCTCTAAATAGATGCTCAGACCACCAGACACAGGCGTGCAAAGTCAATCAAACAGCACAAGCATGGGGCTGGGGGTTTAGCTCAGCAGCATAAGCACCTGCCTTGCAAGCAGGTGGTCGTGAGTTCGATTCCCGGTACTGGTAAAAAACAAAACAAAACAAAACAAAAAAACAGCACAAGCACTAAGTTGTTTCTTTCCTTCAGTTGCCATCATCTCAGAACTTTCTGGTGTGTGGTTCTAATTTCCTCTATGTCTCCGTCTCCTGGACTTGTTCGGGGTGAGATATAGGCATGCAAAGTTAATCAAACAATATAAACACTAAGTTATTTCTTCAGTTGCTTTCATTTCAGAAATTTCAGGTGTGCAGCTTCTAATGTCTTTTGTGTCTGTCTCCTGGACTTGTTGTTCTAGGTAGGCTAGAGGTCTGCTAGAGGTGTGCACTCTGTTCCTTTGCCTGACATTTTCCTGTGTTCCTCTGAATCAGCTGGTTGCCGAGTCCTGGGCGTTTCCTGAGTTCGCTGCCCATCCCGTGGTGCAGGGGATTGGGTTAGGCACCTGGGTTCCTCTGATCCAAGGTTCCTGGGGTGGCAGAGAGATGTGGGTACTGTATCTTTAAGACCCTTACAATTTTTTTCTCCTGGAGTTTCCTGGGAAGGAAAAAAACATTGTAACATTGGGTAATTTTGATTGTGTCCTGAAACTGCAGTTTTCTTCAAAATACAGTTTTAGCTGGGCATGGTAGAACATGCCTGTCATCCCAGCACTTTGGAACCAGAGGCAGGAGGATCACTGTGAGTTCGAGGCTAACCTAGACTACAAAGTGAATTCAAGACCAGCCTGAACTACAGAGTGAAACCCTGTCTCAAAAAAAAGAAAAGAAAACCCCAATTTTAAAATTACTATTTCCTCTTTCTCGCTCTTAACCAGTCTTCACTTCTCAGTATGTTACATGGCCATTGCATTCATGTTAAAATGAAAACAATACAATGCTTTGGCCCTGGGGGTGTGGCTCAGTGGTACTGCACCTGCCTAGCATACCTGAGGCCCTGGACTTGAAGACTGGCACCACACAGAGACACTCTGTATCCGAGAGTTCCATACCCATGGATTCAACCCCCAAAAATCACACATATATCCCATCCCAAGTCCTAAGCCCCCAAACAATAAAAACAGTATCATACACAAACACACTGTCACATGTGTACTGAACATGCATGGGCTTATTTTTGTGTCCTTATTTGTTACAGTGGTGCTGTATAACAACTTAATACCATTTATGCTGTGTTAATATTGGTCCTCCAGAGGTGATTTAAAGTATACAGGAGGATGTGTTAGCTTATGTACCAAAACTACACCTTTTTGGATGCAAGACTTTAGCGCTAATCTGCAGATTTTGGTATCCTTGGTCCTAGAACCAAGCCCCTCTGGATACAGAGGGAGGGCTGTACATTAAAACTAGGATTTAGCAAAGGCTGGTGTGGTGGTACATGCCTATTATCCCAGCACCCAGCATTTGGGAGGCCGGGGGAAGAGAACTGTGACTTCCAGGCCAGTTTGTGCTACGTAGTGAATTTGAGGCTGGTCTGAACTATGTGGCAAGACCTGATCTAAAAAAAGAGAGAGAGAGAGAGAGAAAAGAAACAAAAATTTCTAAATGTATTTTTTTTTTGTCTTTTTGAGACAGGGTCTCTATGCAGTTCAGGCTAGCCTTGAGCTCACTTTGTAGCCCTGGCTGGTCTCGAACTTGCAACAATCCTCCTGCCTCAGCCTCCTGAGTGCTCGGATTACAGGTGTAAGCCACCATTGCCCGACTTCTAAATGGATCTTGTCTTTTTTCTTTTTATCGGTACCGGGGATCGAACTCACGACTGCCTGCTTGCAAGGCAGGTTCTTACGCCGCTGAGCTAAATCCCCAGCCCCTAAATGGATCTTTAAAGAATAGCTCTGGGCTATTCTCCTTTGTAAAATCTGATTTCCTGTTTGCTGTATCCGCTAGGATTAAGTGTGACTGGTAAGACAGAAAATAAATTTAATGCTTTAAATAAGATAGAAGGTTATTTCTGTTTTGCATAAGAGAAATCCAGAGAAAAGCAGACCAAGCCCCAGTACTTTCATCCTTCTCCTCCCTCATTTATAGAACATGGCTTCTATCCTTAAGATCACAAAATGGTTGCCAGAAATCTAGCACCACACTTAATATTCTAGGCAGCAAATGGGGGAAAAGTAAGGCGCAAAAGGCCTTTCCTCATTTCAGGTGTGGTAGCCTACTGCTGTAATGCCAGCACTTGGGAAGCTGAGGCAGGAGGATCGCTATGAATTTGAGACTGGGCTACATAGTGAGTCCAGGACCACCCTGAACTGCATAGGGACACCTGTCTCAAAAATACCAAAAGAAAAAAAATCCAAGACCCAAAACAAACAAACAAAAGGCCTTTCCTAGAAACCTCATTCATCAATTTCCATTTACATGTCCTTGGTCATCCTCAACTGCAAGGGAGGCTGGGAACCAACACTTTATGTATCTGGTCCAGAGCAGCCCTAGTAATACAGAGGTACTGCTACAGAGAGAGAAGGGGAGAAAGGGCTTCCCACAAAACCCTCTGGTCTTCAGGATTCCTTTCTGCAGAGCAGGAGGGCTCTTGGCCGGGGGCTATGGGTCACATTTACAGCATATGACAATGAAATCAGTGAAAGAAAGAGAAGACAGGAGAGAGACTAAGGAGATTTAGGAAAGCCTCAGAGATGTGAGACAAATAGGATGGGTTCAAGCGAATGCTAGATGTCAGATACACTGAGTTCTTTTTTCCCCTAAGTACAAGAATAAATTCTAAGGAACAATGGCGCTTAAGAGTAGGAAAATTTGGACGGGTGTGGCGACACATGCCTGTAGTCCCAGCACTCAGGAGGCTGAGGCAAGAGGATTGCTGTGAGTTTGAGGCCAGCTTGAACTGCATTGTGAAACCCTATTTCAAAAAAAAAGAAAAGAAAAAAATGTAGGAAAATGAATTGAAGAAAGGGGGGGGGGGCAAAGAAAAGCAAAGGGTATAGGAGCTCCTGGAAGACAGGCGGGGTTCTGAATGGGTTGCCAATGAGCCCACTCCTCAAAGGAAGTTTATCACGCAAAGTCACGAAGTGGGTTACAATATGGTTCAAAATTATGATCAACCAACAAGATTGCAAGTCTGGTCACTTAGGTAATGCTGATCAATGGTAGCAACTGCATAGGGGTGAAGATGTCATCAAGTCAGCCATAATGTGTAGTAATGTTTTGGTTTCAGCGGTTTTAGCCTTCGTGGGTGGGAGCCCAGGCCCACCCCTAGAGATCTCGACTCAGGGCCTCAGCTTGCCAGGCAGGCATGTGAGCCGCTGAGCTAAATCCCCGCCCCACTTTACTCCTCTTGTGGTGGGTCCCCTCTTCTGCACCTATTCCCCAGACCCTGCCTGCCTACCTACAGTACTTCCGCCCAGTTTGGCCGTGTGGAAGCTCAGGAGGCCTAGGCCCCGAGCCTCGCGGGAGCAGCCCGAGCCGGGGGTGCTGCTCTGCGTTTGGGAGTCGCGGGGCACAGAGCCCGGAAGCCACCGTTAGCAGGGCGGGGAGCCGCGGCCCGCCCGGGTCGGGTCGGGCCGGGGACGAGCGGGCGGGAGGCTGGGGCTGGCTCGGCGGTCCCGAGGCCCGGCTCCTTCCGGGTGTCGCCCGGGCGCCCCGCCCGTGCCCCCCGCCGCTCCCTGAGCCCCGCTGTCTCCGCCGCGCGGGGGCGCCAGGGATGCAGGCCCGCGGTGGTCACCCTGAGCTCTGGGGCGGAGGCGCGCGCGGGGCGGGGGCTGTACCTCAGGTCCCGGACTGCCAGCCCCTTTGTTCACGCGCGGCCAGGTTCTCGGGAGCCCCAACCTCGCCACTGTCGCCCAGCCCCTCGGGGTTCCCGGGGTTTAAGGGACAGCACATCTTTCCTCTACGACAGGAAAACTCTCCCCGGAGCTCCAATGCTTTTCACGAAAACCCGCCACAGGGTGGCCTCCTCTGTTTGTTTTTTCCCCATCTCATAATTATTTTACGGTTACCAGATTTCATGCTCATTAACAGAGACTCGCATAATGTGCACACGGACAATATAGAATGTGCTCTGGCCACTCCGAACTGATCGCTGCTCCCTTGGGTCCAAGCTACGCATGATGTTACAGGTAACATAAGCTTCCATGTAAGAATGTAGTCTTGGAAAATCAGTCTCCTCTTCTCCTCTCTTCTCTTCTCTTCTCTTCTCTTCTCTTGTCTTCTCCTCTCCTCCCCTCCCCTCCCCTCCCCTCCCCTCCCCTCTCCTCTCCTCTCCTCTCCTCTCCTCTCCTCCCCTCCCTCTTCCCCCCTCCCCTCTTCTCTTCTCTTCTTTTCTCTTCCAGACAGAGTCTTCCTATATAGCCCTGGCTGGCCTCGAACTCCAGGTGATCCTCCTGTCTCAGCCTCCGGTGTGCTTGGATTACAGGCGTGTGGTGTCATGCCTGCAGCTTCTTTTTGAGAAAGGGAGAAGGTAGAGCAACATGTTTATTGCCTATTAACCCCTTTTTTTCTGTGGGGTTGGAACTGGCCCTCTGTGTCCCATTTCCTTGTAAAAAGGAAACATTGACTTGAGAATTTCCTCTGAGCAGCTCAGCCCAGTCTTCTCTTTTCTCACTTCAGGATGGCCTACTGGATACAGCAGGAAGAAGCTGTAGTATCAGAAAAGATTTATTAGAAAATCTTCACTCTGATCTGTTTAATGTATGATGCAGACCTACCACTGATTGAAACTGATTGGGTGGAGAAAAAAGAAAAAAACCTGACTGGATATAGAAACAAGTATACATGTACTTATGTGTATATCAGCGTAGGAAACTGGTGTGTACTACTCGAACCTATTCATTACAACCCTGCCTAAAGCACTTGCTGAACAGTGTGGTCAGAATTGATTGCTGACCTTTTTTTCACTTTAAGTCAACAGAGACCAAATTCTAGAGATATTTATAGGACATAGGAAATACTGTCACTTTGTTTTTTCTTTATGAAAAACATTTATCCACCATTTAGACTGCAGTGTGTTCAACAAATAAGTAGAACAAAAAATGTTACAACCAATATTTTACCTCAGAAGCCAAAAGGAGAGTGACAATAAAAGACACTGGAGGCTGGCCAGGGATGTAGCTCTGTGACACAGTGTCTGGCTGGCAAGCATGATGTCCTAAGTATGATTCCCGGTAAAAAAAACCAAAACAAAACAAGAAGACACTGGGTGATGGCCTGTATGTGTACATTAAAATTGCTTCCTGGGCCAGTAATATAGCTCAGTGGCACAGTGTCTGCCTGACAAGTACTAGATCCTGAGTTTGATTCCTGGTATGCACGCGTGTGCGCGCGCGTGCACACACGCACGCACAGACACACACACACACACACACACACACGCACACATAAAAGAAAGGAAAAAAGAGAAAATTGTTTCCTTTAAACTGCAAGAGGTTGAGCATCTAAGAGTATCAAGTTTTGAAGTTTAATTATTATTCCCTTTTTTCTTAGGATGTCATTCTGTGGCAAAACTATAGTTCATTTCTTTTCTTTTTTTGGGAAAGGGTACTGAGGATCGAACTCATGACCTCATGCTTGCCGAGCAGGCACTTATGCCACTGAGCTAAACCCCCAGTCCTTTTTTTTTTTTTTTGTCTTTTTGAGACAGGGTCTCACTATGCGGTTCAGGCTAGTCTTGGGCTCACTTTGTGGCCCAGACTGGTCTTGAACTTGCTACGATCCTCCTGCCTCAGCCTCGCAAATGCTGGGATTACAAGGGTATGCTACCATACCCGGCTTTTTGTTTGTTTTTTTGAGATAGGGTCTCATTCTGTAGTCCAGGCTGACCTCAAACTCAAGGCAGTTTTCCTGGCTCAGCCTCCTGAGTGCTGACAAACCACAATTATTTAAGATTCTTTTTGTTCAGGTCCAGGCAAAAATTTTTCCTCTTTTTTTTCATATTTCTTCAGTTTAATTTTTCACTTTGTTTTTCACATAAATAGTTATAGTTCTTAAAGACAAATTTTGCAAAAGTTGTTAAGTTTAGGAATATGCTGTTCTAAAGTGTATCTTTGCATTTTGGAGGTAAGATTTCTGAAATAATTTTTAAAATGAAAATGAAGATCAAAAGAATAATTGCACCAGTTACTTCTGCCATCTCACAGAAGAGACTATGAGACAGTAGTAAAGTTATAGGCAATTCTTCATGCCCTGATAAATATAAAATTAAGGGATGATTGCCAATTTGTGAAAATTGAAAATGACGAAACCTAATTTTTCCCCTAATATGACTATCTTAAGTATCCCTAGGATTTAATAAGAGCTGTTCCTTATGTAATGTTAGCAAAACTGTGCCATATTCCATGTGTACAAGTGAAAATAATTTTAAGTTGATAACAGCACAAACAATATATAGCTATATCCAGTATTTCCTTTCTTCCTTTTTTTCTTTTTGAGACAGAGTTTCACTATGTAGTTCAGGCTGGCCTTGAGCTCACTTTGGAGCCTAGGCTGGCCCCGAATTTGCAGCAGTCCTGCCTCAGCCTCCTAAGTGTTGAGATTACAGGTGTGTCCCACAACACCCAGCTATATCCAGTATTTTCATAACTATTTTAGAACGTGTGAATTTTGGGGCTTATATTTCATATTTGTTAATGTGTTTTTTGTATTCACATTCTAGTACCAATTTATGCTCAACTGCCTACTCATTGGCATATTTTTTTGTCTGAGACAGGGTCTCAAAGTGTAGGCTGGCCTTGAGCTCATTTTGTAGCCTAGGCTGTCTCAAATTTGCAACGATCCTCCTGCCTCAGCCTCCCGAGTGCTGGGATTATAGGCATGAGCCATCACACCTGGTTCATTGGCATATTTTATAAATATTATATGTTTTGTGTTTTTAATGGTTTAGATTAGTATTACATTATTGGTTGATCACAAAAGTCATTTCATCTCTAAACCCTAAAAATTTGGTTTTTCTAGGTGGCCTACCTTTGGGTTTTGGTCTTATCTACTTGTATATTATTTTCATCTGGTTTGAATAGTGTTTCCTTTGTATGTTTTGTTTGTTTGTTTTGGTACCAGGAATTGAATTTAGGACCTCGCACTTGCCAGGCAGGTGCTGTGCTGCTGAGCTGTATCCCTGGCCCTGTTTCGCTTGTATGGAAAGGTAATATTTTCTTCATCTTTTTTAGATTTCCTTGTAGGGCACATGTTACGGGTTTTTAGCCAGAATTAAAAAACTAAAAATATGATGGTACATGCCTGTAATCTCAGAACTCAGTAGGCTGAGGCAGGAGGATCATTGTAAGTTTGAGACCAGTTTGGGCTACAAAGTGAGCTCAAGGCCAGCCTGAACTGCATAATGAGAGCCTGTCTCAAATAAATAAATTAGCTAAAATAAATAAGTAAAATTAAAAATTATTTATGACTGTTTCTTCTACACAGAAAGCATATATCCAATCTAATAATCCTTTTATGTTTTTAGTTATATAAGTTCCTATGAATTGAACATAACACTCAGGAATTGGTGGCTTAACTTTAGGTTGACACTTGTATTAGTTTCAGGATGTGGATTTAAAACATATAACTTTGTTGTTGTTATTTTTTAAGAGTAGGAAAATTTATTGGGGAGAAGGAATGGGGAGCAGGAATAGCTCCTAAGAGACAGGAGGGATCCCAAATGGGTTGCCCCATAACTTGGTATTTAGCCAGAAGTTTTGACTTTGAAATTCCCTACTGAATTTAATCTTCCTTCACACAGGGATTCAGCTATCTTAAAGCCTCATGATAGTTTCTAGGATTTATGACCTTATAAAAAATTCTCACATAAAAATTTAGATGAGTAATAATTAGACACATGCATTTTTGTTTTAGTTAAATGTACTCTGCCTTCAGTTATTCCCCATTTAGTGAGATGTTGCTGGCTGTGAAAAGATAACAGGGCATGGAAAATATTGTTACAGCAATAGATATTTATTTTATTTTTGTATTTTTTTGTCTTTTTTGAGACAGGGTTTCACTATGCAGTTCAGGCTGAACTTGAACTCACTTTGTAGCCCAGGCTGGCCTTGAACTTGAAGCCATCCTCCTGCCTCAGCCTCCCAAGTGCTGGAATTACAGGTGTGCACATTGTACCTGGGTTTTGTATCACTTTTAGGCAAGTGATTGTGCCACTGAGGTATATCCCTTGTATCACTTTTAAAGGTACAGTGTAATCTTTGTCACAGTTAGCAACTGCACTCCACTGAAAAATTGTACACTTTTCAAAATACTACCTTCATTTAATATTCATGCTTTTGTGCCTTTGAGAAAATATTTTTTGTTATTTTTTGTGTTATAGAACTATTATATAATTCTAAGTGTTTAGGCTTACTTGACATAAAAATATCATTTCTCTTTGTCACTTTATTTCCTTTCATATAGGTGAAGTTATTGAAACAGTAATGTACAAATGGGTTCATCAATCTACCTATTACAAGTACATTCTTACTCCCTAAGACACTGAAGTAGACATGTCAAATTTTTCTGAGTATTGTGAACAGTGCTTTTTTGATGGAATTCACACCGTTTGAGGTGTCAACTTGTGCCACATACATCAAACTTTGTGGAAAGCAGTTTTAACTTTTTGAAGAATATCTTCATCAACATTTAAAAAAAACAAATGTGTAAGCCGGGTGTGTTTTGTTGGAGGGAACTGCTGAGTTCCCAGAGCTAAGGGAGGCCATGCCCATGCCCCTACCATATTTCAGACCTTGAAAGAAGATTTTGGTAAAAATCTCCGAAGAACCGATGACAATTCCCAAAAGATGGAGAATTAGCTTTAGACCCCTATTAGACTCAGAGAGAACCAGGTCAGAGAAGCCTTGGTCCTCTGCCCCTCCCCCTCAAGGGCTAGGGGAGGGGGCACAAACATGCCCAGTTCCTGCTGGGTGATTCCACCTGGAAGCTGTCCTGAACCAGGAAAGGGAGATATGAAGAAGAATCCCTCAAACTGGTAATGCTGATTATGGGAGTGACTGTGTTTATGACTTTGAGAACCTAGAAGACTATCTCTTGGGGCTGAGGGTGTAGTTCAGTGATCAAACACTTGCCTAGCCAGTGTTAGGCCCTGAGTTCCATCCCCGACACTATACATACATGCACACACTCACATACGCATACAGACACACACATACACGCTGAGCTGGAAAGTCTTAGGGCTCACTGGAATATTTATGTGGAACTAGGGTTCATTTATTCAGGGTATTAGGGTTCTGCAAAGAAACAGAACCAAATAGGGTGTGTGTGTGTGTGTGTGTGTGTGTGTGTGTAAATTAGCTCATGCAATTATAAAGGCCAACAAGTCCCAAGATGTGCAGGGTGAGCTGTTAAACTGGACACCCAGGAGAGTCAATAGGGTAGCACCAGTTCAAGGGCAAAAGTTGGAGACTCAGGAGAGTGGGTGGTGTAGTACCAGTCCAAATAACAGCAGGACAGAGACACAGCAAGAGCTGTGTTTCAGTTCGAGTTTGAAAACAGGAAAAACAAAAACAAAAATAAAAAATGCCCCGGCTCCAAGACAGGTGAAAAACATAAAGACATTTCCTCTTATTTGGAGAATGTCAGCCTTTCTATTCTAGTCAAGCTTTCAACTGATTGGATGAGGCCCACCTACATTAAGAAGGACAATTTGCTTAACTCAGTGTATTTTTTTTTTTTTTTTTGGTCTTTTTCGTTTTTATCGGTACCAGGGATCGAACTCATGAGTGCCTGCTTGCAAGGCAGGCGCTTATGCCGCTGAGCTAAATCCCCAGCCCCTATATATGTCTTTTTTTTTTGTCTAACTCAGTCTATTTGTTAATCTCACCCCAAAACACTCTCACAGAAACACCCAGAATGTTTCACAAAATACCAGGATACTTTGTGGCCCAATCAAGTTGACATATAAAATAATGTCCCTGAGTGGTTTTTTTTTTTTTTTTGGTGCAAGGATGGAATTTACAACCTCATGCTGGCCAGGCAGGCACTGTCCTGCTGAACTAAATCCCTAGCCCTGGATTTTTCTTTTTTTATACAGGGTTTCAGGATGGCCTTGAACTTAGTTTGTAGCCTAGACTGGCCTTCAACTCGCAGCAATCTTCCTGCCTCAGCCTCCCAAGTACTGAGATTCATGAGTGTTCTACTCATCTAGTAGATGCTGTGAGAACAGGCTCAGGACCTTAGATGGGTCCTCTGAGTGTAACCCTGTCCTTGGGCTACCCTGTCCCCACATTCATTCCTCAACCAGTCTCCTCCTGTCCTCCTCTTCAGTCTTGACACATGGTCAGTATCTTCCCGGCTAAAAACTTGATGCTCTGTCCTTTGAGCTGCAGGCAGCGCCCCTCCCGCCCTGCAGCAGCTCCATCAGAGCCCTGGTGACTCCCTGATGGACATGTGTCGCCCAGAGGGAACTCCTCCTCCAGGCTGAGAGGCACAGCCCCCTTTCCCAAAACAGCCTATGATTGCTTTACCATCCACGACCCCATCAGCCGGCTAGGTTCCCAGGCTGCATTGAGTGACTTAGCTTGGGCGTGACAATCCACAGAACTAGGTCTTGCTCTTTCCTTTTCCCTACCCAAGCTCGGAGCATGGGCCCTGAAAGACTTCCCTTGTACCCCATAGTTCTAGCACTTGCAAATCTCCAGCAGGTTTTTTTTTTCCTTTTTCCTTTTTATCGGTACCAGGGGTCGAACTTACGACTGCCTGCTTGCAAGGCAGGTGCTTTTGCCGCTGAGCTAAATCCCCAGCCCCTCCAGCAGGTTCTTGAAGGCAGCCAGGGTTCAACCCTTCCAGGCTGGATGGAGAAATTAAATATTTACGAGACTTGGTCTCTACCCTGGGGAGAAATAAACCCATAATCACTATCTTGTGTTGTGTGCCTCATAATCCAGAACGAATCACAGGCTGGTGCGCATGCGCGCGCCGCAGCCCTGCCGGAAGTAGCTCCCCAGCCCCCACCAGTGAGCGCCCTAGATGCTACTGCTGGCACTGTGACACAAAGGGAGGACTTTCAGCGAAAAGCTGTAAGGAGCAAGGCGAGTAGGGAGGAAAAAAGAAGGCAAGCAGGGATGCGGCCTTAGCCATCGGATCCCACCCGAACAGACCTAGTCCGGGGCAGGCTGGGCGGGCCCTAGCGCTCGGGTGTGTCCCGCTGCGGGGCTCTACTTGCTGAGGCTGTGCTGTATTTAGCAGTTTTGCATTTGTGTTCCTAAGTGACTTCGGCCTATTTCTTTCTCATCTCGTTATTGCCCTTGTCTCATTTGGATATCGGATACTAATAGCCCATAAAAATGAACTGGGTATTAAGTCCGGCGCGTGATTTCCGCGCTCACGCGTTTGAGGCAGGAGGATCGCCCCGAGTTCAAACTCAGCCTCAACTAAGACCCTGTCTCAAAAAACAAAAACAAAAAAACCAAAAAGAATTGAATAAGCCAGTCTCGGTAACACATGACTGGGATCCTACACTCTGGAAGGCTGAGGCAGAAGGATCAGAAATTCTAGTTGCAGCCTGGGGAATTTAGCGATTTGGTGAAACCCTGCCCCAAAAGGGGGTGGGGGAGGGGATGCAGCTCTGCGTGAAGGCCCTGAGTTCAATTCCCAGCACCACCAAGAACAAAAGAATTGGGTACTGTAGCTCTACTTCCTTTTCTTCCTTCCTTCCTTCTTCTTTTTTTTTTTTTTTTGGTCTTTTTCCTTTTTATCGGTGCCAGGGATCGACCACCTGCTTGCAAGGCAGGTGCTTATGCCGCTGAGCTAAATCCCCAGCCCCATCTTTTATTTTTTTTGAGATAGGGTCTCACTCTGTAGTTCAGACTGGCCTTAAACACTATGTAGCCCAGCAGGATGGCCTCAAACTCAGGGTAACCCTCTTGCCTCAGCCTCCTGAGTGCTGGAATTACAGGCCTGGGCCACCACACCCAGCTTCTTTCAATTTTCTGTAGCAGTTTATATCAGGTGGGATTTCCTATTTTTGAAAATTAGGTAAAACAGGTCTATGAAATTCTCCCTTCTTTCCTTCTTTGGATGATAGGATGGGGGCGTTTAGAGAGATACTTGGCTTTGTTTTTCTTTTTAAAACAGTTCGAGACCAGCCTAGGCTACAAAGTGAGCTTAAGGCCAGCCTGAATTGCACAGTGAGACCCTTCCTGTCTCAAAAAGACACAAAACAAAACAAAAAAACAAAACAGGTCTCACTATGTAGTTCAGGCTGGTCTTGAACTCGTGACCCTCTGGCCTCAACCTCCTAAAGGCTAGGATTACAAGCATGGGCCACCATGCTCAGTTTAATATTCTGTCATTTGCTAATGTTATTTTATATCAAGATTGTCTCTTTCATCTAATATTCCAAATGTATTGGCATACAGTTATGCAGTAATCATATGTGATTTTCCTATCTCTTTCCTCTTCAACACACTGACCCCTGCTCCGTCCTGTGCCACAAAACCTGCATGACAACTTCATAGTCATAATAGAAAATGCCAACCCTGAAGCGACAATAAATATGCGTTGTCCAAGCCGGGGATTTAGCTCAGCAGCATAAGCACCTGCCTGGCAAGTGTGAGGTTGTGAGTTCGATCCCCGGGGCCATTAAAAAAAATGCATTGTCCATTTACTGGTAAGACTGGGTGTGTTTCCCAGCTATAGAGAGAAAGTCACCATTCTTAGGTCTTGTAAAGGCCTTTTAGTTCAGATTTCAATACCTCACCTCATCAGAAACAAATCTGCATAAAACACTGTGTGTGTCAATAATCCCAGAGATCTAGAGGCTAAAACAGGAGGATTGCCAGAAATTCAAGGCCACCCTAGGCTGGGCTACATAATCAGTTCAAGTCCATCCTGGATTATATATCAAGACCCTGCTTTGTTTTGTATTTAAGACAGGGTCTCTGTAGTTCAGGCTGCCTCAAATTTAAGGTGATTCTCCTGCCTCAGCCTCCAGAACACTAGGATTACAGGCGTAATCTTAACACATCTGGCTCAAAACTGTTTAAAAAATAATAATCAAGTTATATCGTGTACAGGTACAAATTCTCTATGATGAATATGATCATTATGTATATTTAACACATACCACATGGTGCCGGGGATATGGCTCAGCAGTGTAACACCTGCTTAGCAAGCTTGAGGTGCTGAGTTCAATTACTGTTACCCCCCAAAAATGTACCAATTAAACCTGATTAAAATAAATAGGGCTGGAGACTTAGTTCAGTGGCACAGTGCCTGTCTGGCAAGCACAAGGTCCTGAGTTCAATTTCTGGTACCAAAATTTTAAAAAAAATTTTAAATAAATAAATAAAATTTAAAACTAAAAACAAAAAAAGTCCCCCTAGACTGGAGTCTAAATTACTTGGCCAGGTGCTCAGATCTAAGAAATCTGTGCTCCCTAAGCCACCGTGCCCATTACTAAATTAGAGGCAGGGACAACACCAGAGACCAGGGTATCCTTCAAGGGCAGAGGGCACCTATGGTAAGGTAGGAAGTTGTGTGCCAGTCATTGGAATCCTGCTGTAGATACAAATAGGGAGTAATTGGCTGAGAGGAGAATCAGACCAGGCCCAGACTCAGGAAGGAAGGGCTAAGGCAAAAGCTGCAGAGTGTTTTAGGAGACAGAAAGTGCTGGATGAAAGGTAAAATCAGTTGTACAAATGTACAGGGGCAGGACACACTACAGGATGCAGAATGTCAGGGGATCTTGCCTAGGAAACCATGTCATTCTGGACTATAGACATAGCAGGGGAAAGTGCCTGCTTGCTGGCCTCATATATAAAACAGGAGCTAAACTCACATGGGCTATAGGCTGGGGGAGAAGCAACAGGGATGACTGATACTCTTCCACATACCAGTATATTCTTGTGTACAAGAATACGTTCTGAGTTGGGCACGGTGGTTCACATCCATAATTCATTCCAGTATTGACAAGGCTGAGGCAGGAGGATCACAAATTTAAAACCAGTCTGGGAACTGAGCAAGTCTCAAAAAATAAATAGGACTGAGGACATACTCAGTGGTGCTGAGACAGGAGAGCAGGCCATGGCTGGAAAGTGGGCATGACCTGTCAATTATAAGATCCTGGACACACGCACAGAATAGTTCCCAAAGCCTAGTACTTGGGCTTTTTGTAAGAACTCAAGCAGTTTTTGAGTTTTGTTTTTTGGGTTGCTGTTGTTGTTCGGTCTATCTTTTTGAGACAGTGTTTCACTATGCAGTTCAGGCTGGCCTCCACTCGAAGCTTACAGTGATCATCTTGCCTCACACTCCCAAGTGCTGGGATTACAGTTGTGCACCCCACCTGGCCACGTCATCTAATTGAAAACCTGCTCAGGCCAGGCGTGATGGCACATGTCTGTAATTCGAGCACGCAGCAGGCTGAGGCAGGACAAACAGCTGCATTTGAGGCCAGCCTGGGTTGCACAGTGAGTTCAAGGGCAGCCTGCACTAGACAGTGAGACCCTGTCTCTAAATAAGCAAACAAAACAATAGGCTGACCTAGACCTGATGTCCGTTTGAGAAGTGGATCCCAGCACCCCCTCTCAGAACCCAAATATGGAGGTTCTTGTGGGTTTTCTTGATATTTGGACAGTGAAAAAGGAGAGTGACCTGAAGAGCTTGTCATCAAACTTTCCACCATGGCGTATGCTGTGCTTCTCAGACACAGAGTACTTTTATTTTAACTTTTACCTTCTTTTTCTCTTTACCTGGTCCACACCCACTCGGCAGAGCCAGTTTCTGGCCTACTCTACACTGTTACTTTCTCGAATAAACTTTGCCACTGTTTGTTAATTTCATCCAATTCTTCTAGAGGAGAAGAACGTGGAATCTAACCACAGGAGATGCAAGCAACCCTGAACTTGGTAACGGTTAGTTGGCAAGCCGTTTTTTTTTTTTTTTTTTTTTTTTTGAGACAGGGTTTCACTATACAATTTGGGCTGGCCTCAAACTCTGTGATCCTCCTGCCTCAGCCACCCGAGTGCTGGTACTACAGGTGTGAGCCACCACACCCAGTTTAAGGCAAGCCATTTTTAGAAGCAGACTACCCAATAACTGTGGGGTTCTTGCCTAGAATTCCCAAGCCCCTGGGTTCCATCCTCAGCACCACAAATAAGCACACAAAAATTCATGCTGGGCACAGTAGCACTGTCCATCTACTTAGGAGGCTGATGCAGGAGGATCATTGGAGCACATGAGTTCAAGGCCAACTAGGGCAACAGAGCAAGATTTTGTCTCCAAAAAACATCAAAAAAGGAAGGAAATTCTGAAACATGCTACAACATAGATAAACTTCAAAGATATTCTCTTCAGTGAAATAAATTAAACACAAAAGGACAAATATTATATGATTATACTCATATTGAAGCAGGACTTAGAGAAAGTGGAATTTCCCAAATTCCCCCTCCCTACTGCTTGTTCTAATACAGATAAAAGCAGTAACTTTTATACCTGTAAGTATAATTTTATAACCTCCTGTTCTCATAACATCATTATGCCTGAGCAGGCCACCAAGATAAGCTACAAAACTATTCCAGCTTGACCAACTGTCTTTGTTCTCCTTGTACCCACCTACAAGTTCTGCACCAAAGACAAGCCCTTTGATAACATGTATAAAATGGTAGTCCTTCCTTTGTTCAGGGCTCAGCCAGGTGTACATGTAATAAATCCTCCTGTTTCTCCCACAGTCTCTCCAGACTATTAAATTCTACAACAATCTAAGGTACCTAGAATACTTGAAGTCATAAAGACAGACAGTAAGAATGGTGGCTGCCAGCCAATGGAGGAGGCAGAGAGAATGGAATTTTATACATTTTTTTTGTCTTTTTGAAACAGGGTCTTGCTATGCAGTTCAGGCTGTTGTTTTGTTTTGTTTTGTTTTTAGAGACTGGGTCTTGCTGCATAATTCATTTTGGTCTTGAGCTCACTATGTAACCAAGGCTGACCTTGAACTTTCAATGATCTTCCTGCCTCAGCCTCCTAAGCACTGGGATTACAGGTGTGCACCACCATGCCTAGCTCCCTCTAATTTCTTTTAACTGAGGTCTCCTCTAACTCACCCTTAGTCTCCTCTTGGGCAACCTCTAAGACAACCCTAAGGAGGGGCCAAGGAAACACTTGTCCTTTCTTCCACGGTTGAGTTGATGCCAGTGTGGCTATGGCAGTGAGCCAGTTGTCATTGACCCCTTTAGAAGCCCTTGGGAGCAAATCTCAGTCCATGGGCAGCTTGCTCAGGTGGGAATCTGACATGGTCCCCAGTACCTGGGACAACAGTCCCCTCTCTGGGCCACACAGGTATCTCCCTAGACCTGGAACTTCTTTGTGATTGGCTTGGGGCTGGGGGAACCTGAAAGAGTTGCTGGCCCAGACCGGACACTTTAACCAGGAGAAGCCTCAGCCAAATTAAAGAGCTCCTGCCTCCCCCCGCCCCTAGGAATTTACCTGTAACCCTATACCCCCATCCCTAAGAACCTGCCTCTGGTGCCAAATGTGTGCCAATGGGCTACCTGTGCATCCCTAATGCCCCTTGGGGTCCACCCCAGACAGAGGCTACTTATGGGCCTCACTCTGTGTGTGTGTGTGTGTGTGTGTGTGTGTGTGTGTGTGTGTGTGTGTCGCCGGCCCTGGGGTGGAGATGCTGCACGCCCGGTGTGTGTGTGTGTGTGTGTGTGTGTGTGCGCGTGCGCGCGCGTGAGAGTGAGTGTTCCAGAGAGAGACCGCCAGCCCCGGGGTGGAGATGCTGCACCCCGGGGGCCGGGGGGTCTCCCCACATTCCTGAAATAAAGGTTACTTATATTTTATACTTCTTATCTTTGCAGCCACCGCCGCCCACTCCTTCCACGGCCCTCTTTCCCTTCCACTCCTTCCCCCTCTTCCTCTACTCTTCTCAGACCTAACAGAACCCACAGTGGCTCTATGATATGTGGCCCTATGATATGATATGATATGATATGTTCGATGGATTGGGGCTGGGAGCTGGGGATAAGCCTGTCTTCTTCCATGCCTTGGGCAGTTTTTTCCCAGTGCTGAAGATAGCACCCAGGGCCTGGCACATGCTGGGCAAATGCCCTAACCTGAGCTACCCCCCTCAGTGCAGGGAGACAATCCTCAGACCTTTAGGTCACTCCTCAGAAAGTCTCCAGTGATATTAAACCCCAGTTGCCGCTGGTCATGGTGCACTTGGACTGGCTTTGTTGCCTCCCTGCCCGTCTTTCTTGTTCCTTGGGACCATTCATTTACAATAAATGAGCCACAAGGCAGTGCTTTGTGTGGCTGTGCTTTGGGGTCCAGGTATGGGTAGAGGGTGAGGAGACATGTCCTGATGACTCCTTCCTTTTTGGACTCAAGGTCATATTGATTGAGTGGAAGCTTTGTACTCAATCTAGAGCAGCGCAGAATATTAAAAGAGAGGGGGCAACTAGATAAGAAAGTTTAATGAGGGGAGGCACAGAGGGGGTCACCACAAAGGCAGCTGTGGTGGCTCTCTGCAGACAAGGGGCAGCTTCTGCCTGATATAGGCTCTCATAGGGGTAGGGCTCTGGGGACTGATGTGAGCTGATTTATTTCGTGAGAGTGCAGGGGATTGGGTAAACCTTTACATGCCTGAGCTTTGGCAGACTTTTGGGAGGAAGCCATAGGGGCTTCTGGGAAGGAGTTATGCATTATCAGGACACCATTTTGAACTGTTGCCATGATGATTGTGCCATTTCTCAGATGGGGGGGGCTATCTAACACATATGTCTCCACATAGGTCCCTTCCTGTAAAGCCTCACATTTTTAGGGCTTCAGTGAGGTCTCATACACAGTGACTACTACGTCTTTACACCAGTCTCTTTATTTCTTCCCCTTCTTACTCTCGGGCTCTTCCTGTCTGAGCTCTGGCTGGGACCCCAGGTACCAGTTTTGTGTAAATCTGTATATAGTGACTTGGCACCTGACTCCAACATTCACTTTGGTGAGGCATCTCTGCAGAAGCTTGCATTTTTTTTCTTTTTTTTGTACCGGGGATCGAACTCACGACTCCGTACTTGTAAGGCAGGCATTTATGCCACTGAGCTAAATCCCCGGCCCTGCATTTTGTTTCTTTTCTGGCAAACACTGACATCTTGTTTTTTAGCAAATATAACATGATTTCCAGTTCTCTTGCTGTTCTGGTCGCCGCTTGCTGCTGGGGCTCTATCATCCGCCTTACAATATGCTCGCTGCCTCCCCACTGCTAGTGAAACTAATGAGGTGCAGATAGCGGCCAATGACTTTGCCCAAACGCTATGCAGCTGCAAATACAGTTTAATCTTGTTTCCCTTTCAACAGCCACATCATGTCACCTGGCCTCTTAGACAATGGCTCCCTGTTCCTCTTTCCTGATGCTCACTGGCTGTTTCCTCAGTGCTGTCTTCAGGCTCCTCAGATGAACAAACTCATGAAGGCTCACAGTGTCCTCCCATGGAGCTCTGCCTCATGGCTCTCTGGTGGCCCCTTCATTTGCCATACATATGGTCAGCTAGCTTCAGTTCATGATCAAGAGTCATGAGTCCTCACAGATGGAGACCTAGAACAGCAAAAGCAATTCTGGGCAACAAGGGCCAGGCAAGGGCATTACCATCTCAGACTTCAAGTTTTGCCACAAAACTACAATAATAAAAACAGCGTGGTTTTGGAAAAAAGAACGAAAGAAAAGAAGAAGGGAATGTGGTCAGTGGAGCTGAATAGAGGATGTAGAAACAATGCCAAGCATGTTTGGCTATGTCATCTTTTTTTTTTTTCTTAAATCTTTTTTGTTTTTTTATTGGTACCAGGGATCGAACTCATGACTGCCTGCTTCCAAGGCAGGCACTTATGCCGCTGAGCTAAATCCCCAGCCCCATTTTTGTCTTTTTTGAGACAGGGTCTCGCTATGCATTTCAGGCTGGCCTTGAGCTCACTTTGTAGCTCAGGCTGGTCTGAAACTTGCAATGATGCTCCTACCTCAGCTCCTGATGCTGGGATTACAGGCGTGAGCCACCGCACCCAGCTACTAAGGCTATGTCTTCTTTGACAAAGGGGCAAATACTAATGGTGGAGGAAAGACAACGTCTTTAACAAATGGTCCTGGGAAACTGGGTATCAATAGTCAGAAGACTGAAGCTAGACTCATATCTCTCACTGTGCAGCAAGCTAAAATATAAATGGATCAAAGGTCTCAGTATTATAAAACAGAAACACATAATCTGTTGGAAGATAAACTAGGTAAAACTCTTGAAGACATAGGTATAAGCAAAGACCTTCTGTTTGTATTTTTTTGGTGCTGGGGCTCGAACTCACAACCTCATGGTTAGCAGGCAGGAGCAAAGACTTTCTGCACAGAACCCTGGTTGTATAAGAAATAATACCAAGAATCATAAATTGTGTCACATCAAATTAAAAAGCTTCTGTCCAGCAAGGGAAGCAACCAACAGAGTGAAGAGACAACTTATAGAATGGGAAAAATTTTTGCCAGTTACTCCTCAGAGGATAAATATCTAGAACATACCGAGAACTCATAAAACACCAGATCTCCCTCCAGTTTAAAGACACAATCCAAAAATGGGTATTTGAAATGAATAGACACTTCTTAGATGAAGAAGTACAAATGGTAAATATATATATAAAACATGTTCACTATTGCTGGCTTTTTGAGAAATGAAGATTAAAACAACACTGAGATTTCATTTTACTCCATCTGGAATGGTTATTATCAAGGAATCAACTAATAAATGCTGGTGAGGCTGCAGTGGGGGAAAGGAATCTTTCTTCATTGCTGGTGGGAATGTAAACTTGTACAATCACTATGGGAATCAGTTCAGAGATTCCTCAAAAAATTAAAATTAGAAATTCCACTTGATCTAGCTTTCCCCTTCTAGGTATCTTCCCAAAATATTATAGTGATTCATACATACCCATGTTTATAGCAGCACAGTTTATACTAGTTAAATCTTGGAAAAAGCCTATAGAGCCATCAGCAAATGAATAGAAAAAGAAAATGTAGTATTTATATATATACTACTGTGCCATAAAGAAGGATAAACTTGAGGCATTTGTAGGTAAATGTATGTGCTTTGAGACCATAATGTTAAGTAAGATAAATCAGACACACAAGTTTAAGTATTGCATTGTTTTTGTCATGTAAAAGACCCAAAGTGTAAATAAAGAGCAAAATAAAAAAGGAAAAAAAAGAGATGGAGGGGGAAGTAGGGAGTTCATTTTTTAAATGGGAAGGGGAACAAGAGATGGAGGGATTGGGGAGGGAAGGAAGGAAAAAGAGATGTTTACAAGAAAGAGAGTTGAAAAAATGGAAATGATGCTTTTGCAGATGGGAAGAATGGAAAAGTTTTTTGTTTTTTTTTAAATTTGGAGACAGGGTCTCGCTGTGTAGCCAGACTGGCCTCAAACTCACTGCAGTCCTCCTGCCTCAGCCTCCCAAGTGCTGGAATTACAGGTGTGTGCCACTACACCCTGACAACCATGAACTGTTTTTTTCCCATCAAATCTGTCTTCTTTATTCATCGCAAATATTTCTGCCCAAGGTTGCCAAAAACCAAGTTTTCATTTTGCTCAAGACTAGGTTACTGCAAAGTCCATCTGCTGTTTCACAGATAATTTCCAACAGACCCTGAACTCTTGCATGAGGAGCATCTTGTAAAGTGACGAAGGCAACAGCAACTCTTTGTAACATTCAGGTGGGCAGCGTTGGCAGAACCCTGCAGGAGACTCTGGGCCAGAGTTTCATCAATGTTTTCTGCCTCTACACTTCAACTGTCATTAGTTCAGATCTCTTACCTATTTCTCTACTGTCTCTTTCCAAGAACTGGCTGCCTCTGGAGATACAGAGCAGAGTGGGTGTTTTCTCAGAGGCTGGCGTAAGGAACTGGGTGGAGCCATGGGCACGTTCCCCAGGATGTCCTGTGCTGTGGGAAAGACTCCCAGAGCAGCGCTTCTGTGTGGAGCTTCCAGGGGGGCTGCCGTGGTTTCCTGTGATGAGTGGACACATGGCTACATGGCGACAAATGAAGTCGGTTTTAGGGGAACACAGTCACCGAGCTGCCCAAGACATCCCAGGGATTAGCTAACCTCTGTGTCTCAGAAGAACAAAGCACGCAATCCTGTGAGAGCAGTTGGGAAAACACACATTTGTCTGGGCTCAGTGCCCCCTACAAGGTTGGCAATAGGAGCTGTTCTCCTCTGCCTACCTGCAAGGCTAACACTAGACACAGACGCTAGGCTAACACTAGCCACTAGACCATTTGCCTGATGAGTGAATCTGTGACTTAGAAGTCGTGAAATGGAGTAGCTTGGAGTCAGGTAGCCCACAGGGATCTTTATAAATAGCAAGACTGAGGACTGCTCCATTCACGATGTCATTGAGTGGCACCCTGGTTGAACTATTTCTAGACCTTATGGACATCCTGGATATGAACATGAAATTTTCATGATCTCTTACTGATTTTGTGTCAGAAGAGGAAACACTTCAGTTTTGTGAGGCTTTGAGCAAAACTGTGTGGCATCAGGTCTGTCGCCAGTGCCATGAAGTGGCCTCTAGTGGGGAGGAACAAAGGCACTTTTAGCCACTCCAGTGCTGGGTCATCTCAGTCTGGAGGACCTAGGAGAAATGCTTGCCATTTGTCCTTGTGATGAGCTCATGACATAACAATGAGATTGGAACAGTTAATTACCAAGTAAGAAGCCCTTCCTGCTCTTAAAGGTAGGCTAATGAAAGAGCAGATTGTCCAAGAAACCTTTGGGAGATATAGCAAAAAGAAAGTTTATCACCTGCAATCCTGACTAGTTTACATTCTTTTTGTGTGTGTGTGTACCGGGAATCGAACTCACAACCTTGCACTTGCCAGGCAGGTGCTTATGCCACTAGCTATATCCCCAGCCCTAGTTTACATTCTAGACACTATTATAATCTTCCAAGCTTCCCACAAACCCTCCCAACATGTGCCAGAAGGTGTTGTTTTTGTTTGGCCCAGGGGTTGAGCTCAGGGCTTGGCATGAGTCAGAAGGCTTTACCAAGGATAAAGGCAAAGATGATTTCCATGGGCAGGAAGGAAGGTGGAAGGAATCGATATTGCAGCTTTATGAGAAATCTGTTCCCACAGTCATTTTACATCATAATCACAAGAGGATTCCATTTTTAAAGGTATGTTGGGAGGCTCTATATAGATTAAAATTGCCTCTGAGTTCCTACAAGTCATGATGCAAGATGTTTTTAGAAGATAGGGCATGCATACAGAAAAAACTC